TCAACCAAGTACAATCATAATTCCCAAACTGTATTTATATCAAGCATCCCCCAGCATAAAAGGAGAATGCTTAACATGTACATGACCACGAATAAAGGGCAGGATAGTCATTTTTTTTTCATTTAATGTTTCATCCCTTTGTTGTGAAAGCAGGATGTAGGGTCTTGTCTCATTGCATTTGTAGAACTTGTTTAAGGTATTTAAGTGCAGACGAAGTATTACCCTGTCTCCTGTCTTTAACTAGCTTTTAATAGTGCTTAATCATAATCCACTAATGGAGTATCTGTGTTCTCCTCCTGCTGTCAGTAGTTCATTGAACCAGTATAACGCTCCTTTGGCTTCATCCTGTCTCTTCACCATTCACCCTGAAGCAGTTAGCATTGTTTTGCTGTCAGATGGGATCATGAACCCATCCCCGTCAGTTCCTTTGCAGTCTTTACTGGTATCCCCCCTAACTGTAGGCGCTGTTATGCAAACATGGTAGGGTTAAAATACCTGTTGTCAAACATTATTCAAGGCAGTGTGTTATACTAGTTCTAATACTACTGACAATACTGTCTTTACAATGAGGTTTCCATGTAGTGAAATCTTTATTATGCCAAACACACAATCTGTTCTTTGGCCTTCCGTGTTTTACCTAGAATTTGTTTTCTGTCAGGGCGTAAAAAAACATCTAAAATATCATTACAGTGGCCTGCATAGATTTTATTTTTTTCATGACCTGCCTGTCATAAGGCAGGTTAATCAGACCTACATGTCCTGTAGGTGTGACTGTATTTGTCTTGTTGTGTATATGTTAAAATAGACTGACCTGTTCAGAGTGTACTCTGCTTCTTGCAAGAGGCATGCTGGGTAAGGCCCACAGCCCCTCTCAACCCTGAATAGGATAAAAGGTTCAAACAATGGATTTATGGCTATCATTGAGGCATTATATTACACTGGACCAGCAAGACAAGACAGAAAGAAACATAGTGTAATGTAAGTATGAGCCTGTGCATCCAAAGCCCAGCAGTAATTACAGTGGTCTCGCTGAACCTCAACTCTATTAATAGACTTTATTGAAACCAGATCGAGCCATAGAGAGAGTTCAGATTGGTGTCACATATTTGAAGCGGTTGAGTGCACTCAGTTGATCATGCTGCTTACACACCTTTATACATGGGCACTAAAGCAGTAAGATCAAACTAGTCTAGCATTTCGCACAGTTATAAACTGACTACAACTGCAATACTACAGTGTACTTTTATTAGCAGAAAGCTGTGAACAAAGTCATGAGCCAGCAGCTCATATTAGATGGCAACAATTATGCATAGATAATTTGAAAGAGATTTGACTAGCATTTGGGCATTTATTCCTTATGACTGCAACTAATGTAAATGTTTATTATTCATTATTTCTCTGAATAATCATTTAATCACCTAATATATGAATTGCCATTAAAGTGAAAATTTCATATGTAACTGTAGTTTTACAGTATCAATGTAAATGATATGACAATAGTACTGTTTGCTGATAAGTCACATCGGCATACACTCTTACAGCTGTGCAAACAAACAGCTGGCCAAAAAGTAAAACTTAAGATTGACCATCTTCAAATACTGAACTACACTGGCTGGTGAAAGATAGAACATGAATGTTCTATCACAAATCCCTCCTTGTTTGGATTGGCATCATGTTTATGGCTCAGCCCACCAAACGCCCCCTCCTCCATCAGTTTGTTCCAGCTTTACTTTTATCACTGGTGAATGCGCTGACAGTAACCTTCTGCTGTTTTTGTTTGAGGTGATGGAATTGTTTCTGCCCTTTGTATGGACTTCACTTGCAAATCATGAATGTTTAATTCACATCTGATCTCTTGTAGCCCGGCCATTTTCAAAAGACAGAGGCCACTCTTTTTTTCTGAATTAATTCTTCCGCAGACTCTTACATCAGGCAAGTGTCGCCCTCCGCCCTGCTTGTTCTGTCTGTAGGCACATGTGAGACACCAAGTTACAGCACACGAACGAGAAATCATTCTCATCATGGAGAGGGATAGAGTGCTGTGGGGATGATGTTTTTTATAGGCCAGTCCAGAAGTTAGCATCACCCTGGTTTCCTTGTCCAAAAGCCAGTGGGTTTTTTTCCAAAGGCTTTCGGATTATTGTAGAAAACAAGATCTGTGACAAACAACAGTTTGACACTTACCCATTTTGTACAGTAAGATAATCTTCAAAAATCAACCCAGTTTTATGACTTTTGAACATAAATACAATTGCCAGAATAAAAAAAAGCTATTGTTGGGCTATAAACAAACTACATGGGGCAGCTGTGGCTCAGGGATAGAGCAGGTTGACCCCTGATTGCAGGGTTGGCTGTTTGATTCCTTTTCTCCCCAGTCCACATGTCAAGGTGTTCTTGGGCAAGACGCTGAACCCCAGATTGCTCCTGGTGCCCAGGGTGGCACCTTGCACAGTAGCTCTGCTGCCATCGGAGTGTGAGAATGGGTGGATGGGTGAATCCATAAAGCGCTTAGTCCAGGTATGGTAGAAATGCGCTATATAAGTGCAGTCCATTTAGCATTCATACCACGGTCCCATGCCTTCAGCGTCACCACCACGGCTTGTAATCTGATTTATTGCACTTACCTCTTCTACACAATCCTTTCCCTTTAGCATGACCTGATCTAGCTAGTGAACGTGGCTGTGTCAGTTAGTTGTCTGTAAAGGTGGACTAGTGAGTAGATGAGTCTCCGTGTTGTGACGCTTAATACCCCAGAGAGTCTCTGTAGTCTCACTTAACCACTTGTTAGCAACCACCTTTTTTAAGATGTGTAAAAAGCATCAAAACTCTGGAGTAGGGTATTATTAATACTGATGTATTTCATTTCATAGAACAAAGAAAGTCACTTTCGGCTTTTCCCATTTTAGGGGTCACCACAGCGGATCGTCACACTGACGACTCGCATATTGACATTTGGCACATGTTTTACACCGGATGCCCTTCCTCACACAACCTGGATTCAAACCCGGGGCGCAGCGGTGAGAGCGCTGCGCCTTAACCACTAGCCTACCAGGGACAGCCGTTTCATTTCATAGAACAAAATGTGAAAATGCATTGACTTTGTGTTAACCTCAGACCTTATTTTAGGTGTCTAAATAAACATTGACTTCAGGGCGAGGGAACCAGAAGTGCTAAAATGCTAACCTGGTTCCAGGTTTTAGGACTCACTACTATGGCACTCTATTATAAGGGCATATCGTGGGCAATACGATGTGGCACAGCCCCGGTACATAGGTTGACCGATGCCAAGGTGTATTAAACAAATGTCAGATCCTTTCCCTTAAGTTCATGTAAGCTATAGGCTGACAGCGGTTTTGTGGCAGTCATCAGAGCCTGTTCCATGAAACATCTGGACAGAACCATGTCAAAGATCTGAGGATGTTTTTGAGTTTCACTCTGTAGTGTTCAGGTAATGGGTGTGGATAACTTTGGTTCACTAAAACATAAACCTGCTTCTTGGAGCAGGCCCCTGCAGTGTCTAGGGGATGCTCTCTGCATGTGGAAGGTCTGTTTACTCTGGTGTACAGTGTAATGAGGGAGACCCAATACAAATGACTCTTCCCACAGGGGCTCCAAGTCACAAATGCAAACAAACACAATTTTCCACCAGCTGTTTAACAAAGTTTCTCTCCTGCACTCACACAAATCCGCACGCCTGTTGGGTTATGAATTTTAGATAGTTCAGCATAAGTGGGTCATGATGAGCTCATCACAGAGGATTAGACTAATGCAGGCAAACTCATCATCACACACACACACACTCCCTCCCCAAGTGCCTTCCTTTCTCTCAGTGTGGCTCATTAGCAAGAATCAATCTGCATCTGTGCACGTTTGCCAGAGCACTTGTATACAGACACTGCTAATAAGGGCCCAGAGGACAGACACAAACACACACTGACACACATGCATATATGCATTCCCTGATACGCAGACTTGTGAGATTGGGGGGTCCTGGCCGAGCCACCATACCCATCCAGCGATAGAGGTAGAGACAAGTAGAGGTAGCATGAGAGAGTGTGTATTTGATTCCTCTGCACATTTTTATGTCCTTATATGGATGTAAACCATGCGGGGAGGGAGGGGCTGTTGTCTCAGTGTCAGTTTCACATGTGACCTGGAAACAGGAAGTGTTGTGGTGCAGCAGCAGAAGAGAAGTGAGGAAGGGAAAACCGTCATTACACCGTCTGTTGGCCACATATGTCCAGTGTTGACATTATGACTTTTAGGCATTAAATTGGTGTGCTTGCAGTCGGTTAGGCTATAACTTGAGCACATTCAAAAAGCAGTCAGCAGTGGTGTGGGAAATATTACTTACATAGAGGTATCAATACCAAAGTAGGGGAAAAGCAGGGGAGATAGAAGATTATGATAATCAGATTTTGCTTCCTTCTTAAAATAAGCCTCTGCCAGTCTGATTACTTAATCATTTTCTGACAGAAATGAACTCGAGCTTTTATAATTGAGCGTGAGATTCTTGAAATGCCTGACAAAGTATATTTTACTTACAGAAAAATGTCACCTGATTCTCAAATGTATAAAATGTAATGGCAGATTGTTTCACAGGCATTAATGACTTGTGTAATGCAGTATATCCCTTTAATGTGTTGTGGAGTACAAGTATAAAGTAGCAGGAGGAAAGTTTGAGATGCTGTCAATCATACTGCTTAAGCCAGTTTAGACTACGTTAGGCAGGTGTTGCTGGTGCAAAGAATGAAGGGAGCATTGCTATATGCTTGTTGATTTTACTTTGGTTAATAATGTATGTGTATTTAGGATATTTTTCAATATCCCACTGTCAGTTTTAAAATCCTAAACCTCCATCACACAGAAAATTAAATGTTGAGCTGGAGTCACAATTTGGGGCAGTGTTTGTTTGAGGTAGATTCATCACGTTAGGGTTTTACACTGGTTGTGTCTGACGACGAGTGACTTGGGCCTGAACATCTTGTTTTTGTTTTCAGATACGCATAGCAGCTAACTTCATCATCCACGCCCCACCAGGGGAGTTCAACGAGGTTTTCAATGGTGAGTGCTCGTTTCTTTTTCTCTTTAAAATGTGTGTTAACTTTTAAAATGGTTTAAAATGATCCGCCACTGTTTCACAGCAGAGAAAACTCCCTGAATGTTCTTTCTTCAACTTGAAATGTTACATCTTTTCCTAGACTGAACATTAGAAAAAGTGAAACATCACTTTTCTTTGCATTTCTATGAAAGTTGTACACCACCAGGGTACATGTGTGACCTGCCAGTTATAAAATCATATGCACACCACAACCACAACAAAGACACACTCACAATGAGAAACCGAGATTAGGCCTGGTATGGCATCAAGACATGGGGGTGGCCGTGGTGCACGCTCCAGCTACGCTTGCAAGATCCAGGTCTACGCAGGGAAGTCGACCAGTGGAGTCCCATTATGCTTGATGTAACAGATGAACTGATGGGGCACAATGTCATGTGTGATAGTTTTCCTCACCACTTACAAACTCAACCAGCAGCTCCTGAAGAGGTTGGCACAGTTATGAAGAACAAGCCTGAGCTCCACCCTGCACTCCTCAACAAGGGTGACCCAGGCCTTCTCACCAAGGTTTGCCTTCACCCTCAACACCACTTTAGTTTTGTACCTCCCTAAGAGAAACAAAAAACATGGTCCTCATGAACACACTGCACAAAACAAATGACATCAGTGGTTGCGAGGACAGGATGCCAGCCATGGACCAGGTGACTGGAACTAGACAGCTGTAGGTGGCCGGCTGCCTGCTGGCCCCTGCTTATCTTCCATAACATCATTACTGTGTCCTCATACGATGTCTTTGTGATATGGAGCAAGATAGACCAGATCTTGATGTAGAACAAGAGGAGGGCGTTCCTGGAACAGATGGGAAATGTGCTTGTAACGCCACACATTTAAAGAAGGGAGCACCTCTGCAGCGCTTTTGAAACCCGAGAGGCTGCAGCAGGGGCAGACCTGCCCCCCAAAGCAGGGCTGTAATATACACCTGTGCACCTGTGAGAAATACATCTCTTCTAGTTCAGCCACTCTGCCGAATTTCTTTTCAGCCTGGAGGCTCCAGTGAGAATCAAAACAAACTGACACAGTAACCCACTCCTAACTGCTCTTTGCCCCTCCCTGAACTAGAAGTCCATGCACACACTTGGATATTGGTAATAAGTTGATTGATTTATGTACTTAATGGTTTTTGTTTTTTATTTGTTATTTTACTCTTATTTATTGTTGTTGTTTAAAGGCCATGGTTAAAAATGAGTGAAGACTAGTATTTTGTAGATTAATTGCTCATTGCACAGTATATAAGAAAATAAAAACCCTAACCCTGTACTAAAACGTTTGAGACAGCTAAATAATGCCTACACCTTTAGCAATAATAACAATATTACTAAATCTCCTTCAGTAAAGAAAACAGCACAGGTGTGTAATAAGAACAAGTGGTGTCCACTGATGGATGACATACAGTCTTGCAGCACTGTGAAGAAGGAAAACCCAGATGTTCACAAGGTGTGTAGTGAAGGACAGATTTGGATTTTAAAATTAGATTAAGCTGCTTTGTTTTAGGGCTTTAGAGAAGGTGGGCTGGGTCAATTTTAACCCTTAGGACTAGGGGAGTATACACACTGATAGGACTACACAAGGAATAAACATATTAAAAATTCCTGTGATGTGTTGTTGCTTGCTCATCTCTGTATGAATATAATGTATGATTTGGCAATAACTTGCAACCTGACACGAGGCAGTGATTCATCACGGCACATAAAAAGTGTTCATTCAGCCGGTTACAAAATTGGAACCTTGGTCTGGAACAAATTCTAATGAATGGTCCTTATGTGACTGTTCTTTTTCCTACAATTCAGTATTTGCATGTACTTGAACATAACCTGCTGTAGATATTTGATGTTTTGACATCAAATTTCAAACCACTGGAAGATGTTGTTCATGAATGGGTTTGACATTGTTTTGCACAGATTCTTGATCTTAATTTTAACCTGTTTTGTAAAGTGCCTTTGAGTATATTTAAAAGAACCTCCTACATAAATCTGTTAATTAACAGTCATACTTGGACTTCACTGTTTGGTGGCACACTTTAAATGCGTAATGATTTACTAATTAAGTCCTCTGTATATAAATGTGCAAAATTATAATGTATTAGACTGTTTGGTAGCTTTGTCAAGTTATTTGCTTTTTCAAGTTCGCAGTTCAAGCATAAGTTTATTTTAGTCACTGTAGGTGTATGGACACACACACAGACCTACCTTGTGGAAACTGAAGTTTCACCTGTTCAAATCTATTTTATGAGCTGAAATTTAATTGATAAGGAAGAATTATATGTTGAGAAGTTTGTGGAAGCACAGTGGACTTTTACACTGACCTGCAGTTTTGATGCTGCCAGCGAGTGGTGCTAAAGCTGCAAATGTTGAAAGTGGCTTTAATGAAGAAGCTGGAATATACAAGATTTCTTTCTTTATATCTCAGGTGTATTATCGTGAAACTGAGCAAGCAGTTTTTCTCTAAAATAGTTTATTAAACACGAGCCGAAATGGTTTGTGTTGCATATATAGTGTGGTACTGCTGTACTCTTCTGGCCTCATTGTAGCTCACTGTGCAGCACAAGTGTTGGCACCACACTGTCAGAGTAGTGCCCCTTGAGAGATGGAGTGTGTGCATGTGTTTTGGCATCATTAAATCTTCATCCTGCCTTGATAAATGTCGTCACCTCAGTGGAGCGCCCGGGGGCTGTGTGTATGCCTCTTATCACACCCTGACAGCCACACACACACATGCACAGACACTAAAATGCAGTCCCCTCTTGTCACTTTGTCCCCTTTCATCTTAGTGTGGTTTTACAGCCTTTTCCACTGAGCTAATATACAACATCTGCTTCACTGCTCCTGACATCAATGCTGCAGAGACTGACTGCAGGCAGCTTCTGTGTTTGTGTTTGTGTGCGTCATGGTGTTAATCTGCTGCGCCTCTCTTCTTCATTTCTTCTCTCTCAAAAACTCATCCTTTCTCTCCTCAGATGTGCGACTGCTGCTCAACAATGACAATCTTCTCAGGGAAGGTGCAGCCCAGTAAGTCTCTCCTCTTGCATAATGCAAAGCCTTGGAAAATATTTTTGCAGAGAGATTTGAAAGTATGAAGGGAAACATACAAACAGACCTGCTGTCATTCTGCATATTGTGTGTTTTTATAAAAGGGAAATATTGTTTCTCAACACAGCTGTCAGTGATGCCTGTGGCAGCTGTAATGCTTTAAATTGTATCTTTCTCATAATGAAACTAAAAGGAAAAATTAATCTTGACTTTAATCTCCATCCACATTGTCCAAACACTGTCAGAATCAGCCTAGAAATTGTATACAAAATGCTGATTTTGACCTGTGATTAAAATGTTTTGTCTTTCTTTGCAGTGCATTTGCACAGTATAACTTGGACCAGTTTACTCCAGTGAAAGTCGAGGGCTACGAAGAGCAGGTGAGTTGCTACTTGATCATTGACCTGATGGGATAACAGCCGCACTGGGGCTCAAAATGTAGGATTGCATGACATCATGTACCTGAAGTTGCTGACTCTGTGCATTCGATCATCTTTTCTGCTGCTTCCGCACGCTCTTCACCCCTTTGATCACTCCTGTGGTAAATGAACTGTACTTAATATAGCGCATTTCCACCTGGACAAAGCGCTTTACACATTCACACATTCACACACATACACACACACCGATGGTGGCGGAGCAGCCGTCCAAGGTGCTGGCCTGGCCACCAAGAGCAACCTGGACTTCCGTGCCCAAGGATACTTCGACATTTAGACACATTTAGACATAGTTCATGTAACATGTGAATGTTGCTGCTGCACCACATTGACAGGTGATGAATTAAAGGAAAAACCAGGATAAATGTATGGTCTCTTCCAAGATGTCAGTGCCCCCACCCACAGGGTACTTGGGCTCACTAAATGTTTGAGTATGAAAGTTATAAAAACACATTTATATGGGAAACTGCAAATGCTAAGATTATTTAAAAGCAGAATATTATTATGAATATTAATATAATAATCTCTGGTTATTAAAGGCAGAGAAGGACGATGGGATGAAAGGATTGTCAGTGTTCGTTCAGTCTTTACTGTAATGCCACTGCACTCGCTGCCTGTGTGTTTCTGTGAAGGCTGAACATATGTGTTAAGCCCCAGTAATGATTGCAGTGTCTTATGTAAAGATGTCATCATGTCCCTGTGTTCCCACATCATGGGCTGAAATTCCCCTGTCTGACGCCTAGCAGGTGAAGAGGAAGGTAGCAGATGGAAAGTTCAGGCTGGCAACTGCCTTGTCAGGGCTCGCTTGTAAAAGAGGTTGTAAACCTCAATTGAATTTTATTTCCCTTAGCAAAGTTCTGTTTTTTTATTATTTTTTTTATTTTGGGGTTTTCTTTCACCTTTTGCATATTGTCCATCTTCCCTCTCCTTTTCAACATAATCACCTGCTTTTCTCATCTGGTTTTGCCACTTGTTTCCTTTTCTCTTGCAACATTTATTTGTTCACTTCTTCCTCTTATCTTTCATTCTCTATTGGTTTCTTTCTTTTCCCTTTATGACTTGCCTGTTTGTTTTTTTCATTCCCATGTCTTAATCTATGTGTAATTTATTGCTCATCCATGTCTTCTGTCTTCTTCTTTCTTCCATTTTCTTTACGTTTTTCTCCTTTCCAGGTCTTAATTACAGAGCATGGAGACCTTGGGAATGGTCGTGTCCTGGACCCTAAGAACAAGATCTCTTTCAAGTTTGACCACCTGAGGAAGGAGGCCAGTGACCCTCGGCCCCATGACGTTGACGGCTCCCTGGAGGGCTGGAGGAGTGCTGTGGACTCGGCTGTCAGGGCCTACGTGAAGGAGCACTATCCCAGCGGTGTCTGCACCGTATGTCCAAGCATGTCACTAAAGGGAACAGTTCACCTCCAAAGTTAAAATTCTGTAGTGTTTTCAGTCTTTCACTTGGTCAAAACATTTAGATGCAGTTTACTGCCACGGTTCTATCTCTGCTTTGTTTAATAGTGACATAATGGAGTCTGTTGCTTTAAAATGAAAAATCACTTCTCTAAACAGTTTGTCATAACCCAAATTCTATAGAGTAGTGTGCACTGCACCTTTGGATCTGGTTCCACTGGTTCCAAGGATAGTGCACTAACTAAACATGAGGACTCTTGTTTACTAAGTTCCTGCCATGCATCAGCCTAGTGGTCAAGTGTTGCCAACCATGTTAAGAATCTAGATTGTGTCAAATGGTGTATGATGGCTGCTTGACCTTTAGCTGTTTTCCTTTAACCAACATCCAACATACCAGTCTTCATTATCTCCATTCGCGGTGAACAAAGAACAATAATTTAAACCCACCCACTGAAGTGCAGGAAGTAATGGCAGCCAGTATTTAGAGATGGTTGCTTTATAAAGCTTTTGTAGAACTTATTTATTAGTGCAAAATGAGCAGTACATGTCTGTTGTGAAGGTGTTGCACTGTGAATTTGTGTGTGGTTTGCCTCTGGCATGCTTTACTATATGTTAGTCTCTCATTTGCAGGTCAGATAATTTTACAGCTATTAACCACAAACTATTTTTCAGTTCCTGTACATGTAGAACAGTAATGTAGAACTTATATAAGTTAGCAAGGAAGTGTGAGGAGGCAAATCAGCTCTGACAGTGCTGCTGTTTATTTTTGTTTTTAGATTTATGGGAAAACCATTGACGGACATCAAACCATCATCGTGTGTATTGAGTGCCATCAGTTTCAACCAAAAAACTTCTGGTATGTTTGAAATGGGGCTGTTTTTTTTTTGTTTTTTTTGCAACCTGTGGGATTTAATAAACCTGATATTTTTTCCTGAAAGGAGACACATTAAACACACAAAGCAGTTCACTGTTTGATTACAGAGCAAAAATAGGATGGACTAATTTTTACTTCAAAGTAAGTTTTTTTTTTTTTATTAAGGCAACAATGCTTGTAGAATCCCCAGTGATGTTTCTAAATCAAACTTAAAATGGTGAAGCGATGAAAATGCAAAAAAGACTCAAATGTTGTTTGATATGTACAAGACGCTTCAAAGGGATTAGTTTAATTGGCACTTAACCCTGGAGTGTTAGCTGCTGAGCCTTGTACCGCTGAGCTGTTTGTGATCGGTTAATCTAATTGGATAAGAACTCCACCAATCCTGCTTGCTGACTGGGCTAATGGGTTTTTGGGTGCAGTAATCCCTCACTTTTAGTATATGACTGCCACTGATGTTGGCCTCCTCTTTGTGATGAGGAACCTAAACAGCTGGTTTTGTTCTTAGGTTCCACCATTTTATGTGAATAGGTATGGTCTCATACCATGACATTTTAAAAAGGAAACTTTTCTTGAATCAACACTAAGACTTTACTGCTTTAAATGGCACTTGCTTCTTATCTCTCTTAACAAAACTCAATTAACATCTAGATTCTCAACTGGCAAAACTATGGCCAATGTTTGTTTCCTGAAGCTTTTCAACAAGGCTGCAGTTTGTATTCAGTCTTATATGATGGGACATCTCTGTAATAGAGGCGAGTTAGAGGAGTTTGTTGCCAACTTGTCTCATTGTGTGATGTTGGTCAGAAGTGTGATATTAGTATTTTAGTCTCTCAGATGCAGGGCAGTTAATTTTACAGCTGTTAAGAGATGTAATGGGTGATTAGAGTCTGATTTTTCTCTTCCTCTTCACAGGAATGGACGCTGGAGGTCAGAATGGAAATTTACCATCTCCCCCTCCACCACTCAAGTGGCAGGAATCATGAAAATCCAGGTATTGAGTTCAAATCTTCCACTCTGTGAAGAGGCACACAGGGGCTTTGTGGTGTATTTGAGCACATGTACTGTATGTGCTTACTTGTTCGGAGACCCTTTGCCAGGTCTTTGGCTCTCCCACAGTTTACTTTTGCTCCTTTTCTACAATTTGTATAATGTGGAGGTACAGAATAAATTTTAGGCACCAAATGAACTGAACCCACGTTTCCATTTTTCCAGGTTCATTATTATGAGGATGGAAATGTTCAGCTGGTGAGCCATAAAGAGGTCCAGGAGTCCATGTCAGTTTCTGTGAGTATAACCTAACAGATTGTGTTCATGTGCAAATACGGATGAGGACATATGATGTGCTATGACCTGAACGTGCAAATACGGATGAGGACATAGTGCTATGACCTGAACGTATACGGATGAGGACATATGATGTGCTATGACCTGAACGTAAACTCAGACGTGATTGTTGAGATCATATATTAAACATCTAATCTCAAATTGTTTTCATGGACCTTGTGCCTTTGTAAGACAGTCCACCTAGGTTCTGTTTTTCCCCTCCTGACAGTGTTTTGTTGACCTGCTGATGTCTCCCCCGGGGATGCGTTTCTCTAATTAATTGGAGTGTGGATGTTAGTTTGTGCATTCTATGAAGATTTAGGCGCGCGTTCACCCAGCCTTCTGGTTATGACACTTCTTTTTTCTACTCTTAAAATTACTTGTCTTCCTGTCATCTTTCAGAATGAGGCTTCAACTGCAAAGGAGTTTGTTAAGATCATGGAGGCTGCAGAGAATGATTATCAGGTGTGTAACCTCAAATAGATATTCTGTGCTCTGTGGCTGTATATGAGAAGAGGATTGTTTAAATCACTTATTTACAGTCAAGATTCCCACATCTGAAACTTTTCAGCTACTGATTTCGTGCATGATTTTTTTTTTTTTTTTTCGGGTGAGATATGCAGTTGGCTAAAATGAGACATGTTTTAGACTTTTCAGAATTAAATGATGAAATCTTTCACTTTCATTCTGCAAACCTACACCACAGGATTTTCCCCACAGTGTCAAGTTTTTAGATTGAAAGCTGAGTCGTAGTCATGAATTTAGATGCTGTATATCACTAGAGAAATCTGCTCTTTCACAGCCATTCACTCTTTAAAAGAAACCAAAAATAATATTTGACTTACCCAAGCATGCAGGAACCACAATGATACATAAATTCTAAAAATTTGTTTTAATCTGGGTTTAAAAAAGTATTACTTTTAAGTCTTGAACCACCATCACCCTGCATGTTCATCTGGCAGTGAAAACATTTTCACACTTGTCGCACAACACCCAGACATTTTAACCCTTGTAATGATACTAATATACTCCTATCTCCCTTCCTCTTTCTGCCGTTTCTTGTCTTTCTGTTATTCCTTCCAGACGGCCATCAATGAGAATTACCAGACCATGTCGGACACTACCTTCAAAGCCTTACGCCGCCAGCTTCCTGTGACACGCACCAAGATCGACTGGAACAAGATCCTGAGCTACAAGATTGGCAAGGAGATGCAGAATGCTTAAACAACAGAGCAAACAGCAGACAACTCCCCCAACACCCTCCCAGACAATGTTGCATGACTGGATAGTTGTATAGTCTTTGTAAAAAAATAAAAAAATAAAAAAAATTGGAGAAACTGGGTCAAAGAAAGGTTTGGTCTCACAGCCAGATGTCACATTACACATCAGAGGTCTGCTTTTAATGATGCTACTTTGTTTTTATACAAACACTGTTGGCTCCTCTGTATATTGAACCTGTGATGTTGAGGCTAATTTTATTTGAGATAACTTGAGATGTTACAAGACATAGGAAAAGGGCACCTTTATGCAAAGTCACTCATAAAAGACAGTATCATGTGTGCAATATTAATTGTCCGTGAGACCACACCTTTTGTTTGACCTGCTGAAAAACGGTTTGAATTTGCTATGATGGTGAAACTGATCATTTTTTTGGGAGAATTTTGTCTGCATTTACTAAAGAGCTCAAATTTTGGCTGAAAAGAATGACCCCCTTCACTTCACGGTTAATGTCCCATATGGTCAGTGGAAAAAAATGTTCTTTGTGTTCACTGACTGGTATCATTGGCACAAGCAGTCACTGTCAGCCACTCAGTGTTCTTGTTCCCTCATTTTGGTACTTCCCTTGCCGTTCATCCTGTGTGTGAGAGCTCAAGCTCACAACGCTCCTGGCTACGTTGCCTTTTTTGACTTGACATCATCTGAACTCTCACCCAGTGCAGGGAGTTTTGTGAACACTTAAGCTTAATTAACACGGTCATCTACTGCTAAGTAATGTGCAAAATGTCCAATTTACAATAAAATCAAAATGTATCACTTTCTCCTCCAGTGCTTATTTTTTATTAAAACAGAACCTGACTGTATTATATAACAAGGCACATTGTAATATATACCTGTATGAAACATCCTGTCTGTTTGATTTATTTCAATGAGATTAATTGTAATTCAGTCACAATTATGTTGCATTAAATAACAAAATTTCTATTTAATGACTCACTCATACTTTCTAATTTCCTTTTATTATGATACAAAAATGAAAATATAAACATTTGTAATTTAAATTAAGTTAGGGTTGTGTGAGGTCTTTAAGTGACCATTTTTGTGTCAAATTCAACTGATGATATGCTATGTGCAATTTATTTGACACAATACAAATCAGATGTGTGTAGTGAAAGTACTGCTATTATTCAGTACTAATAAAAAATAATAAACTAAGATACTACCAATTTACAGTCACAGTGATTAGAAGTGATTGTTCTGTGATAGGGAATTTGTTCAGTATAGCAGGTGTAGAACCAGATTGGCCACCATGAAATAAGTATAAGTGCTCTGAGTCATTTGGAATAATGAGCCACTCTTTGTGAGGCTGAGGAAAAATAAGTGGCTTATTGGCTTATATTTATGGGGTTTGTTCTTTTTAATGTTGCTAAAAGTATGATATAATGTGTGATTTATAAGTAGCTGATGGTTGAGTTTGCACCAACAGTTACATGTAAACTAATAACAGCGACATCTTGAGGTGGAGGGAGGTAATTGGCCAGGTTAGCGAGCCGGTAGCTAACTATTAGCTAACATTATCCAGCCAGCCCAGTTTGTAGACACGTCTACACACAGTCCACCGCTGCTGGATACTAGACACATGTTGAACTACTGTTTGAAGAAATGCTTGCAACGAATAAGGATTTAACTGGCTTTCTCATACAAACAAGTTGAGGTAAGCTCTCACACACATGTCGTTTTAACAATTCCCTCAGCGCGGCAATTCACAGTGACCTCACTTCTGTAAACTTTTATTGTAAACGTTAGCCAGCTCGTGTTAGCGGTTAGCTAGCAGGGTCAGTGGCTAAAACCCAGTCGGGTTTAAATGGATATCATTATGCTTGGAAACGTGCGTGGCAGATGTTAATAGGATTGTAGTAGGATGTTCCGAGCTACCACGAAATTACTTTTCTTTGCCCCTTACCATAAGTCGTCTCAAGAGAACAGCACGTTGTGTTGTTTTTAATAGTTTTTATATTGGGTCAATGCAGTGGCTCTTAGAGTCTAGTGTCAGTCGTGTCCCGGTGTTTTTACTTCATGCTGTCTGTTTGCCAAGTTTTCGCTTGTCCATCTGAGGTGGAACTCATCTGTTAGGGGGTGTTACTGACTGAAATAGATGTAAAGTTGGATCCCACGTTTACCACTGACCGTTATCCTCGTGAAGTGTTCGTATGTAGCTACTTCTGTTGGGCATTCAGTGTGGTTGGCATTATGTGTCCTGGCGCTCTCGGAAGCCAGCGAGCAGTCTCCTGTAACTGTGTGCTGAGCAGCAGATGGAAGAATGTGCTCTTTCAGAAAGCCAGCTGGTTGGAGCTGGAGAGGGCAGGAGAGCCTTCGGGCACCCTAGGCTGGTGGAGGAGCTGCTGCGTGTGTGAGGACCCGAACAGTCATAGCCAAAAGCGTGGGCGTTGGAGGCTTGTGTGTCAGGTTTAATATGGTTTTCGGGATGCGGACTCTCACCGTTGTCATTTCTTTGACAGAAAGGTGTTAGTGTGCAGTGTGACTGCAGCTGGTGCCTTCTGATGAACACCTGACTTTCTACTTCAGTTTGAAAAAGCATGGCAGATGATTTTGATCTTTTCCTTTTCTTATTAAAAATCGCTCTAACCATTATAAATATTATGACTGGAGTTAGGATCATATTGCCTACCCATTTCCTGGCAGGCGACAAGCCTCTAAGCAGAAAAGGCCTAGTATGACAAAATGGAAAATGTGCCAACCACAAAACAATTACCTCTCTGTAATTGCTTTAATTTAGATATAGCAGCTATCACAGTATCAGGTATCACAGGCATTATCTTTTAAATCCAAAGCCTTAACTGTACTTACGGCATCTAATAATCCAGTCTCAGCGGTCAGAGCAACCACACAGTGTTTGAAATCACCTTCTGCTTAGCACCCAGTATTCATAAAATGGCAAGCGTAGTACTGTCACTCAGTAGACAGCCTGGGATGTTTTTGGGGCAGTAATATGTCAATGTCTTACTTAAATATTGTGTTTTACAGTATCATGCAACATTTAAGTATCACCTTTCTATTAAGATTAATTCTGACTTGTAGTGAACTGAACTGCAGACTTCTTCAAAAAATATATTTATAGCACTATACACAACAAATGAACCTTTGCAGTACTGCTGATGTGCACATCTGAACCATGTAATGTGCATGTAGATTAGAATGGATGCTTTACTAGATGCACTGTGTTGTTTTCACACTGCGGCATCACAGAGTGAAAGTGGGGTTTTTGACCTGGGTTGTATATAGGTTCAGCTTGGCCTCTCCTTATCACATGTTACACGCTGGCAGTCAGTCTCTGCTGTAGATACTATTGCAGTTACCTCTTAGAGTGGGGTGTTGGATTGAACCCAAAGGAATCAGCTACTGTAAATAACATATTGTACTTTCATTTCCCCTTTTAATGCCAGTATATATGATGATCACTTTTATTGGCCAAGTATGTTACACACACAAGGAATTTCTCTGGTACAGAACTGAGCCAGCCATCTGGCCAATGGCGGCGCTGTACTGGCCATCGGAATGGGGAGAGCGGAAATCAAACTGCTGACCTCCCGGCTGGGGGCGGCCGCTCTACCTCATGAAAATGTTGATCCTTGACCTGTGTGATCACCCTTCAAACTGCTAGCAGTTAATTACATCAGGGATGTTTTCTCAACTTGTCTCCTTGTGGTTTTTTGTGACTTTTGGTATCCACCAGAGAACCTGCTTGGTCTTGTTGGCAAAAGCAAAAGAAGTAGCTTTAAATAACAGTAGAGAGATGGACCCCTCCCCCTTCCCCTGCAGGGAATAAAACAAACCCTGTGTCTTTTACTTAAGATCAAGATGCTGTGTGGCTTCTTTGTGTCAGTGAAACATTGATGCTGCTATAGTTAGGTGGCCTCTTATAACTGATAACTTCCTGTATGGTTGTTAAACATTCTATTTATATTTTTATGAAGTAAAGCCTTAGCTCCACTGAGAGACTGAAGATAAAACTGCGAGGCTTTACTTGAGATCTCTTCGTTGTGACCTTGTCTGTGTTTCGCCAACAGGAACACAGGAAGTTTGTAGTCCTTAGATAAAAAAGACAAAGTAATGCTAAATATTCTGTAGCTATCAGTTAACAAGGGAAACCAATTCACAGCTTTGTGTAGCTGTGGATCTGTAAGTGTACATTGAAAGACCAGAGAAATGACATGGTAAGAGCGAGAAGCTGAAGGAATGTGCTTTACTCAGAATTGCACTGCGGTGTGTTTCGGCTTCTGGTGGCTAACAACTTTTATGATGCGTTTCTTTCTGTGTGTCAGTTAAGTGGTGCGAAGAAAACCATTGCTGTTTGATTCTGATAAACTGATACTGAAACCTGATGTTTATTGTTCTTCTCTCAGAAGGGTAAAAGTGCTTCTGTTCAATTTGATGTCATCTGTGTTTGTAGCAGTGACTGTGAGAATTGGACACTCTACCTCTGTAAAACTGGCCCAGATGGGTATAGTAGATTTCCAGAATGTTCCAGAACGTTCCTCACAGTACACGGAGGGTTTAAACCATTGATAATAAGGACTGCCCTTCAAGAGTGGACTTTGTGTTGCACCTTTGTAATGTGCTGTGCGTCACCATTATTGCATAGTTTTAAATGTATGTAAATTTTCATGTAACTGTAGCATACAGTATGATCACACATTCAGCAAAACAATTGTAAGTGCTGTCGATGCATCTGTGGTCAGAGACACCCTTTCAGCCCTTATCAGATGACTGCGTTATCATCATACAGTCTATCCGGTTTCTTTTTCTTCATGGCTGTAGTGAATGCATGTTTCTGCTGTTTGTATTTGGCGTAAAATAATATACTGATGTCGCTGTGGTATTATTTCCAGGTGCCAGTAAAAGCAAGGGAAACAGTGGCTGTCTGTTTTTAAAGTCAAAACCATAGTCGGAAGAAATATTAGATTTTTTTTTAATTTAATGACTATTCAAATATTTGAAAATCATTGCCCATCCCTAGTATGAATACAGTGCAGAGTTTGATGCACAGCCATAAGAGTCTCAAGGTCGTAAAGAGAACTTTACAGACCATTTTGGGGTGGCTGTGGCTCACGAGGTAGGGCAGTCGTCTCCTGACCAGCAAGTTGGTGGTTTGACTCCCGGTCTCCCCGCCTGCCTAAGTGTCCCTGAGCAAGACACTGAACCCCGAATTGCTCCCGGTGGCTTGACTAGTGCCGTTGTGTGGCAGCCTGTCATCATCGGTGTGTGACTGTTGTGGGTGAATGGTGTATCATCTCCTGTAAAGCGCTTTGGCCAGTGCAACACACTGTGGAAAAATGAGCTATATAAATACAGTCCATTTACCATTTACCATTTTGTGGTACCATATCAACTCAGCTCTCTGTGAACATTTGGGTACTGACCTTAAAGAAATGGTATATGATGTGTTGTTGCTGAAAACCTGCACCTGGGTTCAGACACATTATGTAGGGCATTTCCCCCAGGCTTCATCTCCCCCAGAGATTTAATTCTTGCATCAGAAACAGAAATAAATGCTCTCTGAAGATTTTGCTCCTGTTGGCTTTCTCACTGTAAAAAGGTTTTAACATTGTCGGCCTGGTGTGGGGAAGTGAAACCAGAACAAAGTCAGTCCACAACTCTGGAAGCAAGAAATGATCACTGAAAATACATTTAAGTTCATCAGCCAGACCAGAATCAAGGTACAGAAGAAAAGTCTGGACTTTTAGAAGAATGTATAGAAAACCTCTGAGTTAGATGAATGATGTGACAGGCACAGACATGGCAGCAATTCCCCACAAAGCCAGACTGGTCAAGAAACTTTATTTAGAAGCTGTGCACTGCTCTGGTAAGATGATCTCAACCAGAAATGTTTGTCCTACCTTTGACGCAGCAGACCGCCCTGCCCGGCCTGGAAAAAGGTCCACAATGTCTGTCTGTCTGCATTCACTCAGCTGTACCCATGAGTTCATCTGCATCAGAAATCCTGGACCTCCCTTCAGACTTTTGCACCTTGATGCACCAAAAGTGGAAATTAAAGCCCTCACAGCTAGCTCTAATATCTGACCCACCATGCCAAGTGAGGGAAAGGTCACAGCTACTGCAGAGACAACCTGACTGTACAAAATGTCACAGACATTCTGTGAAGTACAGCAGTGAAGTGAGTCCAGGTAGAAACCACTATCTGATATGGATTCCTCTCACTAAATCTGCAGCAGTCATGAACATTGAGACATAGATATGGAGACGCTTGAGATGACTGTGCAAAAGGAGTTGTTGTTGTTAAGCATGATATCTAATATTTTGTATCAGTGCCACTTGAATGTGTTGTGCTTTTGGTTAACTGGAAGAGGCATGCTAATGAAATATCATTTAGCTTGATCTGAATGTGTTGTGAAATACCAAGTGTTTAACGGTTAACAGCAGTTAACAAGTGTTTCACAGTGTTTGTGTGTGGATTGAACTTTTGCTGCAATGTTGGGTAAATAATGAAAGCACAACTTGTGTTTTCCATTCACACAACAACTCTGAACTCAGGTGCTGCCCCCAGATACTAAATGGGAAGTAGACTCTGTACAGTGGTTGATTACATTCCGGAAAGATGAGGCTAACAGCCAGAGCCTACGGGGGGGGGGGGGTGTCGTTTCTTACACCCTCTGTTCCTGATCCTGGCTTTGTGCTTTGCATACAGAGACAGTTTGATGAATGACATGTTCACTGCACTTAGTATGTCCCAGATTTGACTGCTTGTATGTATTTGAATATATGCAAAAAAGTGCCAGGCACAGTCGGCCTGGAGCGCTCATCATGTATGATATTTTGCATTTCATCACAATTACTGCAGGAGAAACTGTGTTTTATAATCACACTAGATTACATCTTTGCCTAATGACTTGATTTCTGAGCTGTAGCTGGTGGACTAGACTTTCTCTCTGCGGCTGCTGCTGTGCCATACTCATTCAAAGCATGAGCCATACTGGAAAGGCAAAAAGTCCAGCAACACTTACAGTGTATAGACAAACTCTATTGTTAGGACCAATGCATGTCAGCTTGTAGCCTTCGTCAGGGTCTTCTGTTATACTGTAAGCCAACACATGTTGGGCCTTAGCATTAAAGTTGCTCTATACACTGCAAGTGTCGCTGGACCTTGTGACTTTCTGGTTTGTTTTTCCTTCATCTGTGCACCTTGACAGTGGGCGAAGTTGTGCCAGAAATCTCTGCTAAAAGTTTTTTTTAGTGTGTGTAATTTAGTGTCCATTTGTGAAGAAACTCTCCCACGCTTCTAGTTCACAGTGGCGGTTGGCATTCCCTCAGGCTCGATCCAGTTTAACCCGAGCAATGCTACAGTCCAGAATACTGCATCAGTACAATATGCCTTTAGGTTCAAGAGCAGGCTCTCTTTTTGGTACGCTGTTGCTCATAGTGGGACAGAGGAATACACAGAGGGGTAAGGTAAGGGGGGGAGAAAGGGAAATTCAGCTGGTAAAATTGCCAAATGCAGCAGATCATAGTCAAACAGTTTCAAATTAAAGTGGCTTTCAGAAGAAAAACTACCAGTGCAATGACAAAAAAGTGAAAGAGGCATTTTCTTTTGAAATACCTGGATTCAAGAATGTGAATCTGTTCGGTTTTTGCTTCCCAAATTAAACATGTAAATGTATGAATTTTTTTATTTTTTTTATTTATTTTTTTGTTTTTACATAGAAGATCAGGTAGACATAGTTGTAGGTTTTATAAGAAGGTTTCCCAGCGGGTGGACATAGAAGTCCTTCTGATGTGTTCAGTTTATGCAAGTGGAGCTCGTTTGTGGCAGCACTGGTTGTACTGGGTGCTCCCAGTTTTGAATGGATGTAAGGGCCAGTCATTACAAAATGAAATTTGGCACACAGCTCTGTAAGGCTCAAGAAGCACAGTTCCTCACTGACCAGCTGGTGTCAGCAGTGGCAGTCACAGCACTCCTGACCCACTTAGCTGAATGATGCTCCTGTGTTTGAATTGTGACCCAGTGGAGGCAATCAAAGCCTCACCAACTGTCCTTTTGTTTTAGAGTCTGGTTCTTCTGAAAGAGAAGGGCGGGTGGTGACTGTAGTTATCATAAGACTGCCAATCCCTGCTATTGCCTGCAAGAGGCATGTAGTGGTCATGGTCCATGTTTCACACCAGCTGGTTCTGTGCACTGTGAATTCATTATCGTCAGGTCAGGAAACGCGCATCAGCAAATATGCCTCTGGCTGGGTGGTTTGCCAGCTACACTGGAGGGAGAGCAGCCATAATTTTAAGATCCTGGTCTGTTCCTAAAACATCTTGAGCTGGTGAAATGTTGGAGGTGCTGGACACTGTGCCCGAAGGACAAAGGCGCTTTTCTGCTCCAGTTTTTCCTTTTTGGGATATTGTTATCTTTTCTGTGGAATATCAGTGCTGAGTCTTTTTAACATGCCATAAGTCAACGATGGGGTGACATGTAACTTAGGACTTTCCAGCCACATAGCAAATATAGGTTCTTTGTGATGTTTTGCATTTATGGCAGCACCTAATTTCACCTCCTTATCAACACATTGGTGCCAGCATCAAGTCTTGCTGGAGTGTCTCGCTGTTCCTAATAGACTGTCCTGGCTTCCTCTTGCTCCCCACAGCTCTTTTATCCTTCTACTCGTCTTTCGTCTTGCTGTAGGATGGCCACACTCCTGTCACGCTTATTTTCAGTTGCCTAGCAACCAGGAGGAGATGCTTTTTCAGGGTGGTACATGATGGAAGCGGGGGCAGGGTGAGGTGTGCATTGTTCGGGAATAAATGGTTCATGAATGCAGTTCCACTGGAGAGAGTTGGTGAGGAGCACTGTTTTAAGGAAAGCATTCACTGAAGGGTTGCATTGTTCCATTACTCGGTGTCTGACTCAGTTGGCACCCCCATGCACCTGGGCTTCACCGCTGTTATGGCAATAGCTTTGCATCCTAATTATCAGTGTGGTGGAGAGAGAAGAGCCCGGTGCCAGGGTGTGCAAACGTAGGCCGTGTGTGACTTAAACACACTGAAGTTGGCTGAAGTTGACAGGATGGGACTCTTCTCTTCTACTGCTTCATCATTGTTTACCAAAAACACACTGTTATTGAGACAGATGATTGTTTAGTTTCCACTGGAGAGAGGTGGTGAGGAGCACATAATTTGTTTAATTTATTAAAAAACCTGCTTAGAAGCTATAGTTTTTGACATTCTTTTTGTCTGGTTTACTGGTTGATGAAAGCTCACAAAATCACATCACACAACAAATACAATATTTGGGTGAGAGTGATGCAGAGTGTTTTGACTGCACTGCAAAGAAAAGTGTCAGAAGTATTTGGCATTTTGTTTACTTTCCATACTGCCATATGGCCACTTATTTCCTTTAGTTATTAAACTGCAGCAGAAGAAGACCTGTATTGAGTCATGGTGGCGAACAGGGGCAGAAACTGAAAAGTTGATGCAAGAGTAGAGCGCACTGATGAAAGTGTGTGGCAAAGATCGCAGCTCACTTCCTCCTCACTTCCCAGTGGAGCAGTTGAGAGACAGCCCTCTTGTGTAATTAGCTTGACCCCAGGAGACGTCTTTAGTAAGAAGTGAGGGAGTGGCAGTGCACGGCAACGTCTGCTGCAGTCCTACAATCTGAAATCTCAGCTAATTCCATTGGCTTCTAATTCATTTTCATTGGATTTAGCATTTCTTTCAGGATCAAGTGTGAATGTCTTCAGAGCTTTGAACAACTGGCATCAGGAAACTGGAGTGTATGTGAGGTTTTAAAATGTGACTATTTCCAAGAATAAGGAACTCAGTAAGGTGTTAAAACATGAACTGTTTTAAGATACTGCAGGTATGTTCACTCTTTTTTTTTCTTCTGTGTTGCCAATGTCTGTACAGTCAGAGAGAAACAATGGAGACAGTAACTAAATGGAGAACATGAGCGAAAGGTTTGTCATGGAGCTTTTTATTTTTTATTTAAACTTTATTTTACCAGTGAAATCCCACTGAGCATTACAGCCTTTTTCAGTGGAGTCTTGTCGGGACATCGGTAGTAAAAAGTTACAGACAAAAGTACAAATACAAAGCTAAAAACACACAATATACAAAGTCATCAATAAAGTTCCCTTTGTGAACTGTTGTGGTTGGAGCACATTGTGGTGGTGGGGTTATCAATGATTGCTTTGTATTTAAATATGTACCAATGCTCAGCTGACACAGAGAGATGACCAGCCCACTCTGCAGTACATTACACTGTAAGTTACTAACAAATCTCAATACACTGTCATAAACCAAGTCCACTTTATTATGATGGTGTTCATGTAGAGCAAGTCATCAAAATAAAGCACTGGCTGTTTTTCCCACCTGGAACCAGATCCAAAATTGAGCCTATTAATGGAGCCTATACGTTCTCGGGTTATATGGTATGAAGTTCCTGAAACACTGAATAGCAGCGTCACTAAGCACATGTGGACTTCAGGCCTGTTTGCTAGTTTTTATTTTCTTATGTTTCCTATGAATAAAGTGGATAAAAGATGGGAATAATGATTACTTGCTCTGGAAAATTGTTAAATTATTCCAACCTAATACCAGATTTTGTTTAATAAAAAAATAACACTTTGAGCAGTACAAGAAATATTTAGTAGAACAAATGTGTTTTGCGGTGTAGCAGGAGAACAGAAGGGGTCTCTTGACTGTGCTTGAAGGACAAAGACGTGGGGAGAAGACGAGGAGGCGGCAGCGAGGGCTGGTTTTGAGACACAAAAGAACACAGGACTTCATAGGTACACACTGCTCTATTCAGCAGCTGAGATAATCCACATGCTAGCTTCACCCCATTCACAGCGGGGGCCACGAGGACGTCCGGCTGACCTCCCGTCTATTTATGTTAGCAGGCTGTTGTACGGAGTCACCACTGTACCCATTCATACGCCCAGTGTGTGCCATTGCTGCACAGATATTGGGTTATGTATGCACTGCATTTAAAGGCTTCATACAGTACAGTATGCATCAGTAACAAGACTTATCACTTGCAGCAGGTTCAGCATGAGCACATCAGGGTTCCCATGCATCTTGAAAGAAGCAGAAAAGAATTCAGATGACCTGAATACAGAAGCCAGGGGTCTTGTTTCTATGCGGCGCAGGTTGTGTGATTTATGAGTAGTTTTATCAAAAGAACTGAATGATGGTGCTATTATTGTTGTTGGCCTTTGTTTAGTTGCAATTAAACCTTTAATTTGTAATTTTATAGGTAATATCCATAGGAATTTCATTTATTTGTGTCTTTAACTTTAATCAGCTGTCCTCAGACAAAAAATAGGGTTCTTTATTTGAATATATATTTATTTACTTGTTATTTTACTGATAATCTGGTGTTGGACCAAAACGTTTGTTTCTGAACCCAGAGATACAAGTGCATGCAGACACAGAAGGAAACTACTGAAGAAATGGTCTTCTGTTCTGTGTGCATCACATGGAAGGAACATATTTGAAATCCACCACACTACATTTGTGTTTTACTTACGTATGCATGAAATCCAACGGAAAATGTTACTGTGTGTGTTGTTAACTGGGGAATATAACGCAGAGCAGGGAATAGACCTGATTTAATATGATAGTAATTCCACATTTTTCCTTAAATGCAGAGTTGATTGATGATGTTGTGATTAGAGTGGAGCATTTTGTTTTCTGGCTCTGTAATGGCCAGGTGTGTGTGTGTGTGTGTGTGTGTGTGTGTGTGTGTGTTGTGTTAACAGTAGGTAAACACACATCATCTTCGTTTCAGTTTGTCAAACTGATTGTCTGCAGTCTCTTGCTGCTCTCACTGCCTCCTCTAGTGTGTGTGCTAAAAAGTAGACGACCCATTTTGATCGGGCTGCTGTCCACTATTTTTCTCCAGTGCCCCCTCAGCCCCAGCTGACCCTCTGGATGGATCTCTTTGTCTGTATCCCCTTTCCTCCTCCTTCTCCACTTTCTCTTTTTTGTCCATGCCTCTCTTTTATCTCCTTATCATACTTCCCTGCTCCTTCCTCACCTCTCCCCCTTCTCTGTCTCCTTCTGTCTAGCAGAAGTCACTCAGTCATTTTACAGTGCGCTCTCTGACGTCACTGTCTGCATAGCTATTGTCTCACAGAGGCTGCAGCAGCAGCCGATCCTCACCACATTTCTAGTTTTTCACTCCCCCCTTCTCTCTCCTCTCCCCGGGAAATCCTCCTTTGCTCTCTCTCCCTCCCCTTCTCCCTGTTTTTATTAGTAAATGCTACAGTGGAATGAGAAGCGAGAGAGTGACGGAGAGGAGAGGATGAGAAGGAGGATATAGGCTGCAGAGAGAGGAGAGATGCGATAGCTAGCCATAGCTGCATCTCCGTGTCTGCATATGATCACAGTTTGCCTTGGCTGTGAAGGATTTTTGCTCATTATATTTTTTATATATTTATTTATTAACTCCATTATTCGCAAGGCCTTGTTTCTTGGCGCCCGGACTGAGTGTGCATGTGGAGGGCTTTTAAAACAGCGACAGATAGCTGAGCTGGGGCATCTGGCTGTCTGGGAGGCAGCGACGGCCGGCTGGCTGCATTGTGTTGCTTTGATGACCCCCACTGTGTAGCTGCCTGCTCATCAACCTCCCTCTCTCTGTGTCTCTCTCTGTCTCTCGCCCTCCCCTTTCTCACTCCTCTCTTTCCTCCTTCTCCTCCTCCTCCTCCTCTCTCCATCACAGCTCCCGGCCCAGCCATGTTCGGCACAGAGTCCTCATGTAAGTACCACCACCATCCTCCTGAAACCTCAGTGTTTATCTTTTGTTTGTGTATCTATTTAGGTGTATGTGTGTTTTATCGGAGGGAGAGGAGTAAAAGGAAGTGGCTAGATTTCCTCTGTTCCCGCATCCCTCTCTCCTCTCCCCTCTTCCTGTTTTGCCTCCATGGTTGCTGGTGGCAGATTGCATGGGGAGAAATCTGGGATCTACCATTTTAGCACGGAGGGCTGGCACTACAAGCTAGTTGTTCACACTGAGCTTACCGCCTGCCTTGCATTCTCTCACTCTCAGCCGTACTGTGTCTGTGTGTGAGATCATCTCCTGTCTATGTATTTTCACTCCTCTCGTGTGTAATGGCATGCTGGTTGAATGCTGAGAAGTGTGTTTTTGTGCATGGTTGGGTTGTGTGTGTGAGTGGGCATATCAGGAGATGGATGTTTTTGCTGGAGTTTCCACAAGCATCAGCCTCCCCTGTCTGCTTTTGCCGGCTCAGGCAGATTGCTGTAAGGTGTAAGCATAGCATTTCCAGCCACGGATGCCACCAAAGCTAACGTGGCATATCCTGTTGTTGGCTATGCACTGTACGTGTGCACATGTGTGGCTTTGGGCATTTTGCAACTTATAACGTCCCTCAGAAGAGTTGTAGTGTTGAGCTGTAGGTGGGCCAACATCTGTAGGCAAATCCCTTTCTTCCCCTCTACCTCACCCTCACAAGAAAACCTTTGATAAATAAGATGCCTCACTCCACTACCTGCTTGATGCTTCAGGGAATTCTGGGCTGATCTACTGTAAATGATTCTGTCAAGGCCACACATTCAGAGGCAAAAGGAACTAATTTTTTTGGCGTCAGATCAGAGTTAGCATGCTCACTGGCAGCAGAGCAGATTTTGTTAGCGTCCTGGCTGTTAGAGTGACGGAAAGCTGTCATGCACCACTTCTTTACTGAGCAGCTGAGTGTTGTCTTTATTTATGAAATGTGCAACTGAGTGACACCATGGAGTTTTCTGAAAGTACAGCCTGGTAGAGATCACATCTTACATTTCACCAAAGCCTAGCTCAGGTTGTCTGTTCTTGTGCTTTGAGATTCTGAACTCGTGCCAGAATTTGAGGTCATTTGAGGGTCAAAGTTAATTCTGTCACTGAGTCAGTGGACAGCAGTGTGTCCTCAGTGTTGTCAGCTTTCTGGGTCTGTTTTTAGCTTTTTGTCATATTTATCAAGCGCTCTTTTTAGAAAAAGAAGATATTTGGTAAGATCCTTAATATTACTGAGATTTATAATTGTAGGGAACATGTTATGTTTCCAGATACTTTTCTTTAGCGGTCAAAATAATAAAAACATTGATGCCAAAATAGACGTGTGTGGGTGAGATCTCTCACCTTTCCACTCATTCTTATATTTTTAAGTTTGCTGGGATGTTTCAAATATTTGTTGTAGCTGAAAAAAAAGATGGAATTTCAGAGTGCTCAGTCCACACACATTAATTCAGGGAGTTCTGTTCCCATTGTTGAATTACAAATAATCAGCACCTTGTGTTCAAAGAGTATTTTCTCAGGACGTACTGTTGTTAATAGACATTAACTGCTACTAAACCGCTGTTCCTAAATGGTCGTGGTGCTGCACTGAGGTCACAGTGCACACACTACATGGACCACAGAGAAGATTAGTGAGTGTGAGCAGTGAGTAACATTTCACAGTATCTGGTTTAAAAGAGAGCTTGAGTGTGTAGCATTTGCTGCAACACTCAGAGGTAAGTGGAGCTCCTTTTATAGGCTATTTCACTGGAATTGCTTTGCTAGGAAACCACTTGGGCCCAAGTTTATTTCCAAGCAGCAAAAACCGCAAGAGGAAATGAATATAAACACCTTTAGAAAGTTTTTGTTTGAGACCGTGACATTGGAAATGGAAAGACTATGTTCATCATCTGACTTAGCTTGTGTTATTTTTTCATAGTATGTACGACTTTTATACTGAACATGTCCACATGCCGTTGTCAGAGTCACTTAGGCTAAGCTGGTCATATGGTCACCTGGCTTTGGCTGTTCTAACTCTAGTGTAGTCTCCACAGCAGACACACTGAGCTGTAGCTCCGAGGGGTCTGATTTGTGTATGTAATTAAGCCAAATAAGGTCTCGTTTAGAGGTGGGGGGAGTGAAAAGCCAAACTTATAATACTTATTCTCTTCAGTACAGTGAAAGACAAATGCATGCACATCCGATTTGTTTACTCTTATAACAAATTGTAAAAGATCAAGTTTAATCTGTTTCACTTCATTTACAATTGCATATCTACTATTTATCCTCAGTCAGTATACCTTTCCCTGCTTCTTTGGCATTTGAACAAACTGTACAGTTTCTTTAAAACAACAGAACAAACATTAAGGACGAAGAGGTACCTTTAGTCATTCAAAACTACAGCTGAACTATATGGATGACAGAATAGCACAAACTGTGCCGTTTGTGTTTTAGAGATGTTGAATGACTTAAAGTGAAGCTCTTATTTTTCAAGCAGCCTTTTGGAAATGATGTTTCATTAAGTGTTGTGCTTTAAAGAGCAGCCCCTTATTATCCATTGGCCTCTGTTTTCAACAGCCAGCAGCGCTTACAAAAATAGCCTTAGTGACCCTGGTATGAGCAGAAACAACATCCACCTCACACACCTCTGGACACATGCAATTACCTTGTCACGCACAAAGATACACACAAACAGGCCTTGTTTCTAGACACTTGACCCCTGACCCCCATCTCTGTTTTTAGTCCAGCAGTCCAGCACAGGTTTGGGTAAGTGGCTCCTGCATTCTGTCTTGCTTTCTCTCCTTCGGCCTGTGTGCTGTAAGATTTTATGAGGAAGAAACTGATGATTCAGTAGCTGTACAATAAAGTAAAGTATATGCTTTATTAAAATGGAGGTCGGTACTTCCAGCTGGTACCAAATTTTATTTTTGCCTAAGGGGGTATTGATTTTTTGTTTTAAAGTCATCTAAACTGTATCATTAGTACACAACAAACAGTGACAGCAAGTGAGTGAGAGAGGGAAGTGAATAACATGTTAGAATGATTTCAGGATGGATTCAAACCAGTGACTTGGTGTTAAATGAAGTGCACCTGAGCTTTATAGGACATAAACCCCGGCTCCTCCAAGTAAGCAGATGGGACATGAGCCAAACTAAACATTCCAAGTACAAATCACTTCATATAGTGGCATTGTCCATTGTCATCCTTCTACCTGTGAAGCCCAGAGAGTGGCACAGTGCTGTTGGGGCAGAAATCCATCCATTATCTGTACTGCTTAGTCCCGAACGGGGTCGCAGGGGGGCTGGAGCCAATCTCACTTGACACTGGGCGAGAGGCAGGGTCCACCCTGGACCGGACGCCAGTCTATCACAGTGGGGCAAAACTGAAGCTAGCTAATGTTGGTTCTGTTTCCACTTTGACTTTGTTACCACCAGTTGAGCCACGCAACACATTGGACTAATGCAGTCGGTTCTTGAATGTTTGACTTTTCTCTCGCTGCTTAGTATATAAAAGCACAGGCTGGCAGAAAGGTGTCCAGTCAGGGCAGAGTATGTGCTCAACAACACAGGACACCCTCAGAGCTTCACATTCTTGAGAAGCCAGATACAGAGATGACAGGATATGAGGTGTAGTCCATTATAATGCAGGGATAACAGATTTGTGTTTCTTATCCTGCAGCAAATGTCCACATTTTAGTCTGCTTCACCTTTAATTCTACTGTAAAAGGTGCTGAAGGACAGAGAATCTCTCTCTTCCAGTTCAGTTCTGTACAAATGTCAAATTATAATACTTTTCATGTTTATTTCACCCATATTTATCTATAACCATGTTGCACTGACATGCATATTATTAATACTGATCTGTGTTGGTCACTAATGGGCTTTGAACTCTCTTTCTGAGGAGGTTCCAGGTGCGTGTGTCATATTTGTTGTTGCACTGTCTTTGTCCAAGAGCAGAATAAGGTGCTCACTGAAAATGGCAATTTGATGAAAGCCAAACGGCAACCAGCGGTCTCTGTTGCTGTGGTAACCTCCGTAAGAACAGCAAAACGCCCAAGTGATCGGGTTTCTGTGGTAACTGCTGACTTCTGCTATTTTTGTCTCCCGAGCTTGTATAGTAGCTGGCAGTTAAACGAGCCAAAAAGGAGGCTCATTTTTTGAGAAAGGAGCCCGTTTAAGGACTTTATCTCATAGCCAGTGAATGAGTAATGGATTCTCAAGACTCACAACCTCTGACCTTAAACCCTCTCCCAACATATACACAATCATTTCAATCTAAAGCTTGTACACACTGTTACTGTAAGAGAGAAAACTTGGTTGTGAGGCTGCTGTAGTGAGTCTCTACCTCTGCTGGGAGTTGGGTTTCTGTTCTGATTGGATACATCCATACAAAACTCTTGACATTGTGGGGCACATTTTTGGCAAGCTTTCACCAAATGGAAGGTTTTTCTTGTGCACGTTTGTCTTTACTGTCAGATTAATTGAAAGTGCAGTTGCAAATTGCAAAATTTTGTTACCCCAGGTATGACTGCCCCAAACATTTTAAAACTTTTGTTGTGTAAATCTTGTGATTTGTCAACAAATATTGAAGACTTGAAAAAGACTACACAAATGTCTAAAAAGTGTCTGAACTAAAGAGCCTGTTTGTCCTTTTTGTCTGCATGAATGATGCCATTCTTAAACCATCCATGTTTGTCACTATAAAAACAGCAGAGCAGCAAACGCTCAACCCTGTTTTTAAAGGAGACTGAGCTTTATTGTTAGGAAATTCTCCTGTTGCCTTAATCATTAGCTGTTCAGTCCTGTAAGACTAGTTAAACCACAGTGCTCAGACAGAATCTCATCTATTGAACAGAACAATCTGGAAGCATTTTTGCATCATTTTACTGGCATTCAGAATTTCCATACATGGCTCCAGAAGCTCTCTAGCAAACAGGACCAGCTCCCAGGCCATGTGCCACTGCCATCCATAAATTTAGCGGGCCACAG